CTTCCCAAAAGAGGATTACAACAGCTGAGTGAGTGTGGTAGTTGCACAATCTGTAGTCAATATAAGACTTAAGAGTGAAGGGGTGGAGTTTAGCCTGTCAATCAGGTCGCAGGTTGATGGCCTCATGTGAGGCGCTAAGGCGATAAATAGCTCGTTGGAGGCAGGACACACACTCACTCCCTGTGAGACATTACTGACAATGAAGCTTGATGGAGCTACACTGATGCAGCCAGAGCCCTGGGAGCTGGAGGAGCCACGTGGAGACCCCTGCCAGCACTGAGAGGCTTCCACCACCACTGGATCCACAAAACTTTCCACTCACTGGCCTGTGATCTTCCTGCACTCAGTGTCATTGTATGTGCTGTGTTGAGTCTGAAGAGGAATTTATGGACATATGGGGTAATATTGGACTTACGGACTTGATCTGACTTGGCTGGGATGTTTTCTTGATGTACAATTACTCTTTATATAAAGCTCTTTCTTATATACCTATAAATGCCCCTGGATTTGTTTCTCTAGTCTACCCAGACTAACACAGTAAGCTACGCAGATGAGATGTCTTTTTCAGAGTGACCCCAGGAAACCAAAAACTCTGAACAGGTTTTCTGAGGAAGGACACACAAGCTCAGAGATATTCTCCCAATCAGGCAGAGCTCAATCGAATTCCAAGAAAAATAACCCAACAAACACCAATTGAAGAAAATTCTACGAAATAGATGATTAAGACTCTTCAAAACTGTCACTGTCACAAAAGATCTGTAAAGACTAAGCAACTGTCACCGACTGGGAAAAACAAAACAAAACTAAGGAGCAGTGATGAGGACAGAAATGTGGGCCCTGGAATAAAGCCTGGAGCAAAAGAGGACTTGAGTGGAAAGTGAGAGACATCCAAGTCGGGATTGTAGCCTGGTTAATAGTGATGTATCAAGGTAACTTTCTTAATCATTTCACCATGGTAATATAAGAGGATGACATCAGGAAAGCTAGGGGAAAGAATACAGAAACTGTATTTTTGCAATTTTCTGTAACTCTAAAATTATCTGAAAATAAAAATTAGAATATTCGTGAGACAATTGAAAATGTGAATGTAGACCAGATGTTTGGTGATATTGAGGAATTACTGTTAATTTCGTTATGTGTAAAATGATAATGTGAATACATTTTTTAAAAGTTATTACTTCAGTGTCCGAGTCAAGAGGTGTCTAAGGAGACATGGTGACGAAATGTAATGTGGTCTCCCCCAAATGGCCTCCTGGAACAGGAGAGAGACATTAGCTAAGAAGGAAGTGTGAATAAGGCACAGATTTTGGTTAATACTCATGTATCAACATCTCGGGACACTGTTAACGGGGGAAACTGAGTTATGGTGTATGGGAATTCCCTGTCCTACCTTCCAAACTTTTCTGTAAATCGAAAAGTATTTTACACAAAAGTTTATTTTTTTTAATTATTATCTTTCATATACACTAAAATATCTACAGATTATAAGACACCAAGATTTGCTCCAAAATATTGGAGGGCTGTACAAAATATTGTTTATGAATTCTTAGGTGGGTGGTATTTCAAAGCTTATGTTTCCTTAACCAAACACTGATGGTGTGCACGGAGAAGGCAGAGCAGTGTGGACAGCACGGGGCTGAGCCGTCCAGTTGCTTTGCCGCCCGGAACCTCGTGGTTGGGCTCCATCGAGTTTTCCTGGCTGTAACCTGTACAGAAGCAGAGCAGTCCTTTTTCCCACAATGTCAACGGGTGGGTTTCAACAACAAACCTTCGAGATAGTAGTTTAAAAAAAAAAAAAGCCACCACCAAGCCCACTGCTGTCAACTCAGCGACACTATAGGACAGGGTAGACGTGCCCCTGTGGGTTTCTGAGACTCTAACTCCTTTGTTGTTGTTTTTAACAGTTTTATTGGCACTTCATCCACGTCATACAATTCAATAATTAAATCATATCAAGAATTGTACAAGACTGCGACTCTTTTGGGGAGTAGAAAGGCACTGTCTTTATCCCCTGGGAAGAGCTTGTGGTTACGAACTGCAGACCTTGTGGCTAGCAGCCAACGTGTAACCACTACACCACCAGAGTTCCATGATAAGCAAAGGAGGGCAGCAAACAAAGGTGAAACTGAAACATGACCTTGCTTTCTTTGTGCCCACCCTTCAAAGATACAGGTCACTTATGGCCCAAGGGCAAATACTATCTCTGCTCTGCTGCCTCAACTTAACTACAATCTTAAGTGCAAATATATATTCTATCATTTTCATCATAGGTTCCAGAAAGACCCCTTCTCATGCACGAACACAATACTGCTGTATGTGCTGCTGCTGCTGCTGCTGCTGCTGCTGCTACTG